GCTCGGACGTCTATTCCCCGTGCACTATGTCGGTTCCGTGCGTGTTGTCTCTTGTTGGCTCGATGATCCAGGATGCTCCTGGTGGGTCCTCGCCGAGAACAAACAAACGCGAACGTCCGAGCGATGCCGAGGTCGCCCCCGAGAGACCTACGGCCGGGAACTCTTGGGCAGTGCGTCGCGCCGCTGGCTCTGGCCCACCGCGCTTCGGTGCGGCACGCTGCAGTGGGGGCCCGACCACAGGAAACCTTCCACGAGAAACCCAACCCCGAGACCCCGGGGCGTCCACTGATTGTTGGTGTGGGCACGTCACGCTTTCCACAGCACGGCCATCGAAAGCCAGGAAACCCAGGGCACCCTGGAGGCAGGCAGGGTGTTTCTTGGCATGGGCCTCCGCTGTATCCAGTGCCTGGTCCCCAGGCGTCGACGTCCCGAGTTTCCCCGAGCGTCCCACCCCGCGGAGCAGAACAACACGCTGTCCGCTCGCAGGGCCGAGCGAGTCGCCGGGGCCGCCGGGGCCAGACGCTGTGCCAAAGTTCCCGACCGCATTCCCCCCCCTCAACGCTGCCCCTGAAGTCCCCCGGCATCAGCCCAACGAGCAAGCCGTCCGTGCCCCTCACCTCCACTGGCTGGTCCCCCGAGGAGGTCGCGAGCAGCTCGCCCTCCGCGGTGAGGATGAACAGGAGGGTGTCCATCTCGGTCTGCTCGGCCACCTGCTGCAGGATATCCTGGACGCTGACCGTGGAATCGGCGTCGTCAACGATGGCGCTGGCGCCGACCCGGACGGAGATGGCGCCGAAAGCGCTCTCTGGCGCCCACGAGGGGCCCATCAGCGGGAAGAATTGAAGGTCGCTGGGGGGGGCAGCGTTGTTTCCAGGGCCAGATCCCCGTACGCTCGGCGGGCGCGCTTGATCGGTCAACAGCAATCCTTACCGCCGCCCTTCGCGAGAAGCTGTGATTTCAGGCTTGCTCTTGCCCACGATTTGGCTGCTCATGCTTGCTCTTGCCCTACAAAAGCATTACCCTCTCCCTCGTCGCCCCAGAAACACAGATCGCGTTCGCTGCCCCTCAGCGAGCTTCAATGGAAGAACACCTTCTTGTATAGAGCCTGGCTGGTGCCCGAGCCTGCGATCACCGTGCCTGGGAGCCACACCGCCTCCCTGATCCCAGAGTCCTTTCGTGACCAGTCGCCAGGCAGGTTCTGCATACTCCAGAGGCTCTCGCCACCGCCGAGCCACGCGTCGCAGTTCTTGAAGAACAGCGTGCCATTGAACTTCAAAGGATCTGCGAGGTTGTCATCGCCCCAGATGAGATTCATCCTTGCTTGGCCCGCCGGCGCTTCGTCAGAGGCTTCGAGCTTCAGGAGCGACTCGTTGCCGGTCCATCCAGTACCAGTCGTCTCGTAGTTCAGGTTGGCCTTGTAGGTGGCAGATAGAAGAGCGACGTCTGTGTTGCAGGCCTGGCTGGTCGAGTTCAGCAGCAAATCGTCGCGCGCCTGTGCCAGCAGCACAGACTGAAGGCTCGGCGCCTGATTGAGCAACGACCACGCCCCCGCCCCGAAGGTGTCTATGAAAAACCTTGGGGCTGCAGCCGGAGCCGCTGCGAACGACATGTTGTACATGTTTCCGATCACCTCAGCCTGCGACGAAGCGACCTGGAAGTAGCCGAGCAGCTCCTTCGATACCTGCTCCACCGACGACAGCAGCTGCCCCTCGCTCGCCTGCGCCAGCTCGTCATTGGCCAACCTTCTGAAGCAGCCATGCCCAGGCATGCGATGCCGCACGGGGTCCCAGGAAGTCTCGACTATTTCTCCAGGGAAGCTCTTTCATCGCAAATCTCTTCTTGACGGTCCTGGGGTCCTGCGAGGGCCCCCAAAGGCCGAACACTGTCAAAAACCGTCCGTCGTGAATTTTGTCAGGACGCGAGCATGTCTGGGTACGGGTCGGGGCCAATCCCTGCTCCAATCCTCCGATCTGGGCAGCCGGGCCCGCGGCAGAAAAAAAGCACCCCGCCGCTCGAGATCGGCCGCCTGGGCCCCGACTCATTGAGACGGCTCGTACAGAATCGGTGGCCGCTACTCCCTGGGCCTCTCCAGTGGTGCGTTGTGACCAGGATTTCGAAGCGAATGCAGCTGTGGCGACGAGGGAGAGGTACCGGCAGCGTAGTGGTATCCTCTCCCCCTCGCAGAACTGGCCCCCGTCCGACCGCTCGTGCTCCTCTGGCCTTCCCAACGCGGCCGAGGGAATCCCCACAGGGCGGCGGATCAACACCGCAGGGCACGATCGAGTGATCGGTGCTCCTCTGGGCTTGACCGCCACAGCCGAGGGCCACCCCACAGGGCGGCGATCGACACCGCGCGGGCCCGAGCTGGCGGCACGATCGGGTGATCCGTGCTCCTCTGGGCTCGCCGGACACGGCCGAGGGCACCCACACGGCGGTGATCGACATCGCCACCAGCAGGGCCACGCAGACCAACACCGAGACGTAGACAGACAGCAGGCACCTCTGGGCGCTCGTTCTCTCGCGCCCCTCCTCCTCCTGCTCCTCCGCCATCTCCTCCTCCTCCTTCTCCTCCTCCTCATCATCATCATCAGCATCATCATCACCACCATCACCATCACAATCGCCATCACCATCACAATCACCATGACCATCACCACCACCATCATCAACACCATCGTCACCATCACCATTACCACCACCATCATGACCACAATCATCACCATCATAATCATCATTCTCAGCATCATAATCATCATAGTCATCATCATCATCACCATCATCTTCATAATCATCATCATTCTCATCATCAGCATCAGCACTATCATCATCAGCAGCATCATCATCATCACCAGCACCAGTATCACCATCGTCATCGCCATCACCACCATCATCACCACCAACACCACCAGCATCACCACCACCATCATCATCATAAGCATCATGATCATAATCATCATAATCATCATCGGCATCATCATCATAATCATCAGCATCATCGCCATCATGATCATCATCAGGCTGATCAGCAACATTATCATCGGCATCAGCGTCAGCGTCAGCATCAGAATCATCATCATCAGAAAATCATCATCATCATCCTCTCATCGTCAACATCCGAATTAATATCCTCGACACCATGATCACCATCATCATCATCAGCAGCATCACCATGATAATCATCATCATCAGCATCATCATCATAAGCATCAAACTCGTCATCATCAGCATCATCAGCAGCATCATCACCATCATCATCATCATCATCATCATCATCATCCCCACCATCAGCATCAACATTATCACCACCACCATCATCATCATCACCACCATCATCATCGTCGTCATCATCCTCATCCTCATCTTCATCCTCATCAGTTTCCCCATCCTCAGTATCATCATCATCAGCATTATCGCCATCATCATCATCATCACCAGTATCATAATCATGATCATCATCAACATCGTCATCATCACCATCACCATCACCATCACCATCACCATCACCATCACCATCACCATCACCATCACCATCACCATCACCATCACCATCACCATCACCATCATCATCATCATCATCATCATCATCATCATCATCATCATCATCATCATCATCATCATCATTCTGCTCACCTCTTCGTCATCCTCCCCGATCCTCCTCCTCCTCCTCGCGCACTGCGGGCTTGCGCGGGTCGACCTATCCTCATTCGCCTTGTCATCTCAACCTCCTGTTGTTGCTCCTCCGCCTCCTCCTTCTCCTCCTCCTCCTCCTCCTCCTCCTCCTTGTCTTGCTGCTATCTTCTTCCGTCTACTACGTATCCTCCTCTTCCTCCTCCTCGCCACTGCGGGCTGGTGCGGGTCAACCTCTCCTACTCTTCCTCATCCGCCACCATATCCCGCCTCCTCGCCCTCCTCCTCTTCCTCCTCCTCCTCCTCCGTCTCCTCTTCTGCCTGCTGCTCCCCCTCCTCCAATATCCTGCGCCTCCTCCTCCTCCTCCTCCTCCTCCTCCTCCTCATCATCACCATCCTCACCCTCCACCTCCTCCTCCTCCTCATTTTGCTCTTCGTTTTATCCTCCTCCCCCTCCCCCTCCCCCTCCCAGCCTGCCTCCTCCTCCTCCTCCTCTCCTTCCCCTCCCCTGTGCCTCCTGCTCCTTCCATCCCCCAGCTCCTGCCCCACCTCCCGATCAGAGCCCCACAGGCGCACCCCCCCCCCTCCCCCCAGCCACCACACTACACCCACGCACCCACACCTACACACACATCCCCCACCCACACCCACACCCACACCCACCCACACCCACACCCACACCCACACCCACACCCACACCCACACCCACACCCACACCCACACCCACACCCACACCCACACCCACACCCGCACCCGCACCTGCACCCGCACCCGCACCCGAACCCCCCCCCCCACACACACCACACACACACCCGATCATCCACACACACACACACACGCAAACACACACACACACGCACACAGACACACTCGCACATGCACGCACACACTCGCACACAAACAAAATCACAAACACACACACACACACACACACACACACGCACGCACGCACGCACGCACGCACACACCAACACACACACACCAACACACGCACACGCGCGCGCACGCACACACGCACACACACACACACACACGCACCAACACACCAACACACACACATGCACACACAACCACAGACAAATACACATACACACACCAACACACCAACCCACCAACCCACCAGCACATACACCACACAACAAACAACATACACAACACACAACACACAACACACAACACACACACACCACACACCGCATACAATACACACAACACACAACACACAACCCACACAACACAGCACACGACACACAACATACACACACCAACTCCACACCACACACACCACACACAACACACACCACACACACCACACACACCACCCCAACTACACACAACACACACCACGCACACCACACACACGCACACGCAAAACACAACACACAGCACACAAACACACAACACACATCACACAACACACACAACACACCACACCACACAACACACACACCACGCAGCACACAGCGGACAGCACACAACACACAGCACAGCACACATCACACAGCGCACAGCAAACAGCACACAACACGCATCACACACCACACCCCGCACACCACACACCACACAACACACGCACACACCACGCACCACACACCACGCACAACACGACACACACACACACGCACGCACGCACACGCGTACGCGCGCACACGCGCACGCGCGCACACGCCTCGCGCACGCGCGCACGCGCGCACACGCTCACGCGCGCACGCGCGCACAAGCACGCGCGCGCACACGCGCACACGCGCACGCGCGCACACGCACGCACGCACACACGCACAACCGCACACACGCACGCGCGTGCGCACGCACGCCCGCGCCCCCACGTGCACACGCACGCGCGCGCACACGCACGCGCGCAGGCGCGCCCCCCCCCCCCCCCCCCCCCTCCCCCCCCCCCCCCCCCCCCCCGCACACACACGCACGCACACACCCACACACACAGACACCCACACCCGCACCCACACCCACACCCACACCCACACCCGCACGCGCCCACACGCGCACGCTCGCGCACGCACGCGCGCGCACGCGCGCACCCGCGCGCGCGCGCCTACACGCGCGCACAAACGCGCGCACGCGCGCACACGCGCGCGCACACTCGCACACACGCACACACACGCGCACACACGCGCGCACACGCGCACACGCGCGCGCACGCGCGCACGCGCGCGCACGCACGCACACACACGCGCACACACGCGCGCACACACGCGCACACACGCGCACACACGCGCACGCACGCGCACACACGCGCACACACGCGCACGCACGCGCGCACACACGCGCACACACGCGCACACACGCGCACACACGCGCACACACTCGCACACACGCACACACACGCGCACGCACGCGCACACACGGCAAACACACGCGTGCGCGCGCGCACACACGCGCACGCACGCGCACACACGCGCACGCACGCACGCACACGCCTAAACACGCGCACAAACGCGCACACACGCACACACACACGCGCGCACACTCGCACACACGCACACACGCGCGCACCCACGCGTACACACGGTAACACACGCGCACACAGCGCACGCACGCACGCGCGCGCGCACGCACGCGCACGCACGCGCACACACGCGCGCACACTCGCGCACACACACGCGCACACTCGCACGCACGCGCGCGCACGCGCGCACACGCCTACACACGCGCACGCACGCGCACGCCCGCCCGCGCACTCGCACACACGCGCGCACACGCGCACGCCCGCGCACGCCCGCGCACACACGCGCGCACACGCGCACACAGCGAACACGCGCGTACACGCGCGCACACGCGCGCGCACGTGCGCACACACGCGCGCACACGCGCGCACACACGCGCGCACACGCGCATGCACGCGCACACACGCGCACGCACGCGCACACACGCATCCGCCCATCCGCCCGCGCTCGCCCGCGCTCGCCCGCGCTCGCCCGCGCTCGCCCGCGCTCGCCCGCCCCCGCCCGCCCCCGCCCGCCCCCGCCCGCCCCCGCCCGCTCCCGCCCGCCCCCGCCCGCGCCCGCCCGCCCCCCGCCCGCCTCCACCGCCCCCACCCGCCCCCGCCCGCCCCCGCGCGCCCCCGCGCGCCCGCGCGCGCCCACGCATGCGCCCCCACATGCGCCCCCGCATGCACCCGCACGCGCACCCACGCATGCGCCCGTGCATGTACCCACGCGTGCACTCAAGTGCATGCACACATACATACACGCATCCATACACACATACAAACATACACACATACAAATCGACACACGCACAAGCACACACAGACACACACACGCACACCTACCCTCACACAGACACACGCAGACGCACACAGACGCGCAATAACAAACGCAGACACACACAGCCACACACACAGACACACACACACAGACACACACAGGTACGCAGACACACACACAGACGCCACGCACACAGACGCCACACACAGACACCACACACACGCACCACACCTACGCACATGCCCGCGCTCACACCCGCGCACGCGCCCACGCGCGCACCCGCGCAGGCAACCGCGCACGCGCCCACGCACGCGCCCGCGCACACGCCCACGCGCGCACGCGCGCACGAGCACGCGCGCGCACCACGCGCGCGCGCCGCGCGAACACACGCGCGCGCGCACGCGCACACGCACGCACGCGCGCGCGCGCCACGCACACATGCGCGCACGCGCGCGCGCACGCGCACACGCATGCGCGCGCGCACGCGCGCGCACGCACGCGCGCGCGCACACACGCACAGCGCGCGCGCGCGCGCGCACACCCCGCGCCACCCACGCCTCACACACACCCGCGAACCAAACGCACCCACGAGCGCCCGCGCGCCCGCGCGCCCGCGCGCCCACGCGCCCGCGCGCTCACGCGCACG